GTACATTAATGGGAAACCCTAAATGTTTGAGCACCCTCTATGAAACGTCAAGCTACCCCACAGCACCCCCAAAATTAATCTCTGGCGCCGCCACTGAGCCTGACTATTTGTGTTGGGGGGGGCCCGACTTTTTTTTTCTCCAAAGGGGGGGCCTGACAGAAAAAGTTTGAGAACCACTGCCTTAAGCAGTGGAGACACACACACAGGCACACACACACACACACACACACACACACACACACGCATGCACACCATCGGCAGAGAAGGGGGCCGCTGTAAGTTGTCTTTAATGAAAACTGATACTGATTATGTCCTCTATTATCTCTCTCTCTCTCTCCCTCTCTCTCTCTCTCTCTCTCTCTCTGCAGCTTCCCAAGATGTTTCCTGGTCTTCTGATGAATCTGCAGGTTTATGCCAGTGAGGTGCCAATGTTTTCCTTCCAGCCTGGTGTTGTGAAACTCGACCTTGCGGGCGCAGTGAAGGCTTCTGCCATCGAGCCCAACGGCACCCAGATCCCTCTGTTCAAACTCAATGTTGTGAGTACTTCTGCTCTCAGTCCTATGGATATGATGAGTACATTCACGCCACAAACAAACATTTTGCAAGCACATAAGAAATATTTTGTAGAAAAATTGTTATATCTCTAATAATAACTTGATTTGAGCAACAAATACATGCAGGTGCTTGGACAAAGGGTCACTTTTTAATGTGAAATGTGGAATCGTTTAACCCACTGTGGATAAATTAATTAACAACAAAAAGAACAGATGGATTGATCGTAATAAAATAAATATTGGTTGTTTTGACAGCTGGCACCTTTTCTTTCAGGACTTACAATTTGACGGTAAAGTGTGGGTCGCTGCTGGAAGACTGAAGGGCTCCATGGCACTGCAGAAGTGAGCATCACCATGTCGTAAAACACACGCCTCAGCCTGCAGTTAACTAAAGCAAAGTCATGTTGTGTCTTTCTTTCAAACAGTTTAACACTGACGCTGGCGGTCAGTGAAGTGGGACACTTTGAGGTACATAACTACATCACATAATATGTTAGAGGCAAACTTACGTGTGCACTGAGGAGAATTAAACCCAGACAGTAATAGATCACATGTTCTCTCTGCAGACGGATACATTGGAAAGCTTAGTGAAAATGGGAGTGATGGCTGGCCTCGCAAAACTGAACGGTAATCTTTTAAAGTTTGCTTTGCTCAACAACATTTAAACTGGGCAGTGAAAGCCTTTTTATTTCTTCCCTTTTTGTGAAGTTTATCTGGGGAAAATAAGCATAAAAGCTTTGTTATTTTCTATTGAATGTTGTGCCTTTTATCTATGTCTGTGTGCATGTGTATATGTTTTATTATGAATGTGTGTATATATATATATATATATATATATATATATATATATATATAGGTGGGTGTACAGGTGTATGTATAATATTTATTTTTTATTTTATTCCTCTGGATTGTGAGAAACAGCATTTCAATCTCTCTTTCTGTGTCATACAAACAGAAGATTGACAATAAAGTTGCTGTTGACTAAATATTTATAATTAATTTAAACGTGAATAGTGCTGCATCTTTAACATCAAGGGAAACAATGCATTTAGTCCTATAGTTGAGAAAAAGCACATTCCATACTGTATTGATCCAACATACTGAACATACTGTATTTAAGTGTGGCTACGTTGTCTTTGTTTCTGTACTTATCTGTTTCAGTGGAACTGGGCAAAGGCATTGTTTTACCCAGAATGAGGAACGCTCAGCTGGTCAACACAGTTCTGGGGGTGGAAGAGGTCAGTGTTAGTAAAGGATCACTGTTTTCTGAGGTTAATGTTTGGCTTTGAGAAGACATTTTGAATCAGGGGCAGAAATTGTTGTTGGGCTGACCATTGTCTTTATTTCTCACAGGGATTCATAGCCATGTGTTCAGACGCTGAAGTGTTTACAGACAGCTTCAACTGACATCAAACTGTCTGTTTACCTCATCAAACATGGACGCTCTTCATCTCAGCACACATTGTTTGCACCTGTAAACAAAATTGATTTGTGTCCATATTTAACATCATAAAGCACCTGTGTTTAAAAGGTAATGCCGTGCTGAAACATTTACAACCGTCATGACATATCAACAATGATTTAGCCTGCAGTTGATTTCTATAAATGCTTCAGCCTGAAACCTCATCTTTTATGTATGTTTTAGCATTTTATATTTTGTTAATAAGTGCATTCTGTTTCATATATACAAAAAAAAGATGTGGTGAGAATAAAATCATTTTTTCTAGTTTGTTTCTATGTCACTGTTGCATCAAAGACATGATCATTGTATCTGTCATTATAACCATTGTCATGTGTTGACTCAAGGCAACCTGGTAAACCCGAGAGACCCCGGTACCGGGGCACTGCAGCAACATCTTGCAGGAAACAGTGTCTGAGGGCATGTTCATTTAATAAACTATGAATGTTTTATATCCATGTAACGGGAAGAAACTCATCTAACTGATCATTATTTATTCTTTTTCAAAATAAAACCCACAATGCTAAGAGCCTCTGAATTAGCAACGAGCGAAAAATGCTAACAGATTACTGCACCGAAATTCACCCACAAACCTTATTCTTTATCTTTTCTGCACATCCATGACATCGTTTCACATCGTGAGGTGACACAGAATCGCAGGGTACCCTCATTATCACTCAAGATTACGAACTCGCGGAGATAATAACAAGAACAGACATCAAAACATGTGGCGCTAGGTAGCTAAAAACGCTAACATGGCTCACCTGTGACGATAAAAACGCTGCTGAAGTTAATCCATAGGTTAATCCAACCCAGTCTCACAAAAAAACGTGTAATAACTACGTTGGTCCACAACGTAGGACCTAGTATTTCTACAAAAACGCCTCTGTTGTAGGATCCCTACGTTTTTTTTCACCATTCATTCCAATGTCTGGCGTCTATGTCACGTGATCTTCAAATTTCTCCCTGCAGAAAAAAAAAACATGGCCGAACTTCGTTTTATTCTCGGGGGAAAATGCCTATTTTAAAGTTAGTTTGGCCATTAAAATGCGTTTTGATGTCATTTGATGCGAGAAATATGAGTTGTTATTTCTGATTATGTATGCAGTGGATGTACATGATCTGTAGTTTGCTAGTTATTACGAAGATTACTTCAGGAAATTGTGTCTATACAATGTTTTCATTGTTACCAAGGTGGTCATCTCACATCACATCCTCATAAAACAAATACCGGAAACAGACGGAAAACATTTTTTTTAAATAAAATAATACTTTATTCCGAGTGTGCTTGCTTTTCTCTTTGAAAGTCATCAAATAACGGCATTGTAATACAGGGTTCGGCTGCATTAAATATTACATATCTGCCGTAGTTCTCTATTCATAGAGCCCT